AGTCATTAAAATGGGTTTTTTCAACAGGTACTTTTCCACGGAGAATATTAATTTTACTAAATATTCTTATTTCTTCTAAATAATAAGTAGTCATGTCAATAGTAAGAAAACGGCGGCTATTAAATCACCTATATGCTTGAAGGACTAGTGTAATTAACAGGAAACGGAAAAGAAATAGCAAAGAAACCTGGGAGGACCTGTCCAACTGCTATTCAACTTCTGCACCATTTTTACATTATATACAGTTCATTTCCGAGAAATTCACAACAGCTTTTAACCTTCTTCATCAGAGTCGGGAGCAAGAACAGTTTTATCCATAAATATCTGACTTGCGTCGAGAGTGCGCTGACTGCTCGAAAGAAAATACTGACGAAACTAGAAAAAATTGAAGAGAATTAGTGGGCTGTATAGTGTAAAAATTAAAAGGATTTCTCTCAACATTTGAATTTGATTGACATTATAATCTTAATCATAGATTCCTAAAACTTCTAACATTTCACTTGTAATAGAACGGCAGTAACAAAACAAACTTTCGAATCAGAAGAATTCTGCGTTGCAAACGTTTTGCTTGTTGGCGTCTTTTCATGATCAATCCCAGTCTCAACTACTGCTGGATTTGTAGCTTGGTTTTCTTGCATGCTTGGCTCCTCCAAACGTTTTTTAGCAAAGGTGCTTAAAATTATACATTTTTTTTTATACAGTATGGTATCCACAATAGCATCAAGCGGTCTGTGGAAATAAATAACCTTGACGATGAAGTCCCAGGATCAGTAGAAGGACGTTTGCTGCCTCCTGAAGCGGAGGAACACAAAACTTGAACGTCATCCTCATCTAGTGGTCCACGCTGGTCGAATGGCTGGACCGAAGCGGCTGTCGAAAGATGTTTACCGACTTCTGAAGTAGAGGGGCAGAAAACTTGAACGTTCTCTTTCAGTGGTTCACGCTGCTCCACTGGTTGTGGACGCAGATAACTTGGTTCAAAGATGGTGTAGTTTTTATCAACCGTCGCGACTACTAACTCCCCAGTAAAGTGGACATCGTTTTCTAGTGCAATTACTAGTGGACTGGAAAGGCTTTTATTAAGAACTAGTCAGCGAAGTTTCAGATGGAAGAAAATGAAGTTTCAAATGCGATAACCGATTTTAACTGAAGGGTGATCCAAAAATAGAAGTTAATGAGCAATTAATACTTCTTGAAAAGTACCACCAAAATTTTAAATAATACCACCTTCCAGCTTCTTCAAAGTATAAATTAAGAGGTGACTGCAAGTAATCTGCATATACGACAAAAGCCTGAAAGTAATTACAGCGACGATGTCAGACGACCATTACCTCTTAAGGTGTTTTTTAAAAAACTCACGTTAGTCGACGACAAAGTAAAAAAGGAACCTTGATTTCCTTAAGGTTAACCGTTATTTCCACTTCCTGCGAAACATTAAACCTTCCAAATTCCGTTGTTGGTACTTTCACTTCAGTTTTTACTAACTTCTCCAATTCTAAAAAGAAAAATTTTTGTGAGATATGATTTTGATTAGCTAGCCTCACAACCCGAAATTTCTTATCCAAGCCGTCACTTAATGAACACGGCCCACCGTGATCTCTGTTAATGTAGTTCTTTACAGCAAAAACTTCCTTTCCTGCTTTAAATGTTACGTCTGATGTATCTTGCCGGATTTCGGATAGTAAAGATAGCAGTAAACTGAAAAAAAAAAA